AACGGATCTCTCTCTTATATATATATATATATATATATATATATAGTCGGAAAAATGGTATTTTTCACAACAATTCCCAGATATTCATTACTATCAAACCGGAAAAATAATATTGAACATGCCGGAAAATTTGGTTGTTTATATCATTTGCATGAAGATCTCATGATATGGAAGATCAGACTTCCTTGTAAACTTCTTTTACTATCCACATCTTTTTACTTGTGTTTTTATTTTTATTGAACTGCTTTTGAAGCTTTCTATCATTGAAAAAAAAAGGATTAAAAACTAATTAGGTATGAGTGAAAAATAAAGGAGTAAATCTACAGATATCAAAATTGATAATGTATATATCAACTGACGCATCAAATGATCTTGATAAAATCATGACCTTTTCTCCTTCCATTTTCAATCAAGGAGCACAAATCTTACATAATTGATGATCGAATGCGTAAATTAGTTAATGAGAATTGTTTTAATTTAATTTATTAAGGGTTTCCTTGGAATTTAAGTTTTTGTAGTGTCACTTATTCCACTCAAACTGATCCAAAATAGTTGGATTCCAGTATCCGAATATTGGTGATCCCAAAGACCCCCTTCCCCCAATTGGTATGATACCAATTGAATTTGAACTACTACAACAAGTATAGATGAAAACATTTATACATCCATGTCATCACTCATTTCTTTGGACATCAAACAATTCTTAGATCTGGTTAGTTTTAATTTATTAATATATATATAGAGAGAGAATAAACTAGGAAGATTATATATAACCCCACGATCAACAAGCTTTCCATCAGACGCTTTCTATTCCTTTTCTAACCACAAGAAAATACATCACTGTTTCGGTTGCACCTTTCAATATATGTCAATAGGCATAGCATAGAGGCAAGATTATCACAACCTGAAAGTGTATAAACTTACATTTTAGCAAACTAGAGTATAGTTGGCGGTTGAAAGCTTATATCTCAGAACCCTAGAGTTACAGAAATTAAGGAGACAAAACTATAAACAGATTTTAATTAACTTTATTATTTCCTTTCAAATGAAAAAAAAAAGGAATTTCCTCTCCAATCTCCATATTAACATCAAAATGACTGAGTTTTCTTATTTGCAAAAGAAAAAAAAATTGGGAGTATAAACAATAGAGAATAACCCAAATCTTGCATCAAATTAATTTGTCCAGCTACTTTGATCAATCAAATTAAAGCTAATGAATCGGAAAACCATTTAATAAAAGAGAAAGAAATTCCTCCCGATCTATCTTGTTTCCAAGCCCATGATCTAATTTTGCTCAATTCTAGCATCTTTTCAAGATCCAAAACATTCCTAGATCCTAGCTACTCAGATTGGTTGTGTTATAAAAATAAATTAACTCATTATTCAATGATGCTCAAATCAAAATGCAATCTGATCTGAAGGAGAATGAATTACGGAAAATCGCTTAATTTTCTGATCAATTTTCTTCTTAATCAATTAACCTTGAAATTGAAAAACCCTAAGAATAAGGTTTTTTTTTTTCTTTTTCATATATACCCGACTTGATATATCCTCCATTATCTCTTTTAAAGATGGATGGTGCATATATATAGCCAAAGTAATATCATCAAAGAAAAACAATGTTTCTTGACAGTCTGAATTGAATCAAAAGACGAGCTAGGTTTTCCAGATGCTTTTAATTAATTAATCAGGAGTACCCAATCTCTTATTCTTCATAACAGTATGTTAACTGAGAGTAACAACATTGATCAAACAATTAGAGTTAATTAGATAATTATAATTGTTAAAATAGATTCTGTATCCAAGCACATGTCTGCCTCGGAGACAAGTGGAATTAAATAAAATTTTGATGAAGTAGCTAGGTACTGCAGGTCAGCATGCTAAGAAGCAAGGACTAATTTAGAACAATCTGAGAAACACACATACCTGTGATATGTATGAGATCGATGTGTTGTAAATATTATTTGGCTGATACATAGTGAGGTCCCAAGCTGCTACTTAGGGTTAGTCCAAGCACCAAAAGGGAAAGCAAGAAAATAAATAAACAAAGAAACAAGTATATGTAGAAAGTGAAAAGATTTGAGAGATGGTGGTGGGGTGACAGATAGAGAGTGAGCACGCATAACTTCAAGCATGAATCGTCATCGTGCAAGAAAGTGCCATGTGTGCTCACTCTCTTCTGTCACCTCCCTTACCCTTTGACCTCCATAGAATCAAACAAAGATGATATGCAGTTAAGTGGATCCTCCTCTTAAATTCATTTCTGAAAGGGTCAGAAGGCTTATGAGGAGACACAATCAGTTAGCCTTATATTTCCTCTATATTTAACACAAAAGCTGTTTCATTGTATGAATTAAAGGAAGAAATAACAAACTTGAAATGTTGTGTGAAGAGGTGAAGGGAGATACAGAGGTTTATATAGAGCCTGAAAGAGAATTTGCTTGCATCACGTATGTGAGGAATAAATGTGGGTTTATCTTCCAGTGGCCATTCTCCAATATTTTAAACATTTTACAGAAGAGAAAAAAGAGAAAGCAGAAAAAAAGAAGGGTAGAAACTTTATCTTTATGATCTCTCCACCCATATGCAACTAGCCAACTACAAAACCCATTTATTCATTGTTGTTACCGACGCATCTTGTAATTCTAAATTTATTGACCCTCCAATCCTCGCTATTCAAACATCCCTTGATGCCCTATCTTCAATTCTCTACATCTAGAAGAAAAATTCTTAAGAAATCTTTTGTTTTTTTTTATCATTAAACGTCTATTATGAGTGCTTTTAAATATATATATATATATATTTTTTAACATTAAGACCTTCAAACCGTGTGTTTATACTCTATTATAATTATACACTTTCAATGAGTCCAAACTGCATTAATGAATATTGTAAATTTCTTGGTATTAAGTTTAATTCTCATAGATTAAAAAATTGACAAAACTTAAATACAGTATCTAAGATTTTATAATTAAAATTAGTTTTATTTTGGTAATATATATTTACATTTAATGTAATCTTTAATTATGTATCTTACACATGAAAATCTTAATTATAATTGAAAAACAATCCTAATAGGTATTGTAGTACTTAAGTTGTCTTAAAAATATAGTATTTTTATGAAAGACAATTTTTTTTGAGTAAAATAGAATTATTATTGATGATAAAATTTTCCTTGGAAGTATTTACATGGATACAATCACAAAATTAGTAGTATTTTTTTTTGGTTAAAATTAAAGTTTTATTTCAGTAATATTCAAAATAAAGGATTATGTTAAATGTCAATGTATATTATTGGAAAAAAAAATTAGATACAAATATCAACATTTATATAATCTACTATGTATATTTATATTTTTCTTCTCGCTTTAAATAGGTTTAATGGTTACGCATTATTCGTAAAAAAAATTACACTATCAATCAATAAAAGTTATTTTTAATATAATTTTTAAAGTAATTATTGTAAAATTTAACAAATTTATTATACATGATGGTTAGATTGATGATAATATATATGACTATTTTATGATCAATGCACAACTTTTTTTTCTTCTCATATTACATTACTAAGGTAAAAAGTGCAAGAACATATGGTGTCCCTGTATTCCATCTTTCACAGGAGTTGTGTATTCCATCTTTCACAGGAGTTGTTAAAACATTTTCATGTGAATGAACAAGACAAAAAAATAAATATATATTGTGATTTTTTTTAATAAAAAAGTATAACTCCTCATCTGATTAGATTCTAAAGAAGTAAAGTGTTATGTCTAATTGTGACTTCATTTCTAGGTTATAAATCAAATTTCAGTATAACTTAAAACCACTTGCACAACAACTTTTGATATATATCTCAGGATTTTGACGAAAATTTAATTTGATTAGAAGTTTTTTCCCAGTATAAAAATGATAGGAATTGATTTAGAGATATAAATACTCGTTCCAAATTAAACCCTCAAATATAATAATAAAGTTATATTTTACTAATTATGAAAGTTAAAAAGAATTTATAAATAAATAACTCTGGTATTTTTAATATAATTAATAAATATTTATTTTCGGTAAAAAAAATTTCTTTAATTTTTTATTCTACTCACACCAACTGTTAAAATTATATGAATTTAATTTAATTATTTTAATTTTTATATTTTCATTCAATCATATATTATATTTCTTTTATAAAAAAAAAAACATATTATCAACTGTGGTAAATTTATTTACTAGTTTAGCAAATGATTTGAAAGTCTTAGTATAAAGATTTTTATGGTCTTTACACAACCGTGCATATTGAACTCAGCTTATATTTTACCAAAACCTTTTAAATTACAATAATAGTAAAAATAGTTGTCTTTCTACTATTGACCCTCTGCTATGTAGTTTCTATTTGAAATATGTTTGATTATCGTTTATTTGAAGAAAAAGATGAGATTATATATGCATGCATTTTTGGGGTATGGGGCAGAGTGGGGACAAGTTTCCCGCGTCCTTATTGAGGGAGGATGTGAGAGATTAGATTTTCATCTCATAATGGAATATGGGGTTTCCACGCCCTCTTGTCGAGCACTACGCTAAAATTAAGTTTTTGTGATAATTAATTTATTTTTTAGCGACTATATAAATAGTTATTATTTTTTTTTATTAGTATTTAAATAATGATTGGTGTATTCAGTGTCGCTAATATTATTACCGGCATTTATATAAAATACTGGTAAAGACTTACTAAATTGTCGAAAAAACTTATTTTTTTAGTGGCAATTTTAGTAACCATTTTAAAGACTATTAAAAGTTATTTTTTCAATTGTCTCCTTTCCATCCATTTAGTGACTTTTATTCCTATAATTTTCTTTTCTAAATTCATAACTTATATACTCTTTTTTTTATCTTTAGTCGATGTAAGATTTGTAAGATGAGAGTTGTCTTCTATTTATATATTTTTTAATTGTCTTATCTCTTAAGAGATGTGAGATTTATAAGGTAATTTATTATAGTGAATTAAGAGTCTAACTGAACCTTATAAATTAACTTATAAGGTGATAGTTATTACTCTCTTATATACTATTTAATTATTTTATCTCTAATCGATGTGGGACTAGTTTTTTTCAATAAATAATTATCGTTAATAATAAACTTTAGTGTAATATAAATACACTTTTAGTGGCTATTATATATTAACCATTAATATTTTTATTATATAATTAAATAGCGGTAATTAAATTATTGTCATTAAACAATTGTTGTTAAAAACAATTTTTGTTGTAGTGAAGTCCTTCCGAAAATATTAATTTGATCTGAATTTTCATATGAGATAAGCCTTCCAGATTACTCTATACTGTCTGAATTAGTTGTACCTTACCTATAGCTAGCATTACTTAAACTACAAGGCCTTAAAACAAATATTAGTGGCTGGGTTAACATATATAAAACGTAGCTGAAACAGTAAATAAACAATTATCAGTTTAGGATCTGATTAATTAGCACTATAGTGAATGCTTTGTTGCATACAACAGGTGGTCCCGTGGTGGCTAAGTTAATTCCACAGTCAGGTGTTAACACGCGGACAATAGCAGCTATACGGAGTATTATTATTAAACGAGCACCATTTACCTTTAACACATTAATTATTATCGATTAAAATATAATATTTTTATTCTTTTTTAATAATAAATACATGTTAGTTTTAAGTGCAAATCAATTAAAAGTTAAGTGGAATATAAGAGTATAATTAATCAAGAAGTTTGAAAATGACAAATAAATAGAAACATTTTTTCTAAAAAAAATCGACAGCTAAAAAGGAATAGACGTAGTATAAAAAACTACAAAATAATTAGTAGAAACATTAAACAAGGCACAGGACTCACTAAATTTTGTATTTTTTAAAAGACTTCAAACAAATTGAGAATATGCATTGAAAAATGTGTTAGTAGAATTTCTCTTACATAAATGAAAGCTATAAATGAAAGCTAAGTGTGTGTTTGAAAATCAGTTAAATTAAACTTAATTAGGATTGGAAGAAAAAAAATACACTCATAAGTTTTTACTTTTTTGTGTTTTTCTATTAAATGTGATTTTAAATTGATATCAAAAGATACACCAAGTGTTTGGTAGGAAAAATAGTAGGATCACTCTTTTGAACACATTTTTTCTACTATGTTGAAATCTATTAAAAAATATAATAAAAAAGTTGGTAACACTTATTTAATGACTTTTTTTTCTTCTGATTTTGTGATTTTTAATAAATTCAAACTAATAAAAGAGAGTGTATTAAAAAAAGTGGGTTAAAGAATGTGTTGCTAGTACTCATTGTGTTTGCTATGTAACAATGAGAAATACTAACAACATATTTATTTAAACATACTATCTATAATAGATTAAAATTTATTGAAAAAATACAAAATTTGATAGATCTTACACTATATTTAATAATTATCTCTTTTCTTATTTTATAGTTTTCAATAATGTTTAACTAATATAAATGAGTGTGTTAAAAGAAATGTATTAGAATGTATTTTGTTAACACTTTCTTGACAACATGCTTCAAAAACTTTTTATCAAAAGTGCAGTTTGTTTAAACTAATTAATAAAGCATATTTTATTCCTTTCAATATAATAATAATAATAATAATAATAATAATAATAATCTATACTAATATATAAAGGGGATATTTTTTTTTGTAACTACCTTGGTCTCCATTTTTTTGAACCATTATATCCTTTTATTTTAAAAAATTAGAAAAAATATTTTTTAATTAAATTTAAGAATTTAAAACTAATGAATCTATACTTCTATACTAATATATAAAGGGGATATTTTTTTTTGTAACTACCTTGGTCTCCATTTTTTTGAACCATTATATCCTTTTATTTTAAAAAATTTTAAAAAAAATATTTTTTAATTAAATTTAAGAATTTAAAACTAATAAATCTATACTAATACTAATATATAAAGAGGATATTACTTTCGATAACTACTTTTGGTTTTTATTTTTAAATGAATTATTTTATCTTTTATTTATTTTTCAATAACTACTTTTTTTATGAATAATTTCTCTTTTTTTAAATTTTTTTCTTTTAATACAATGCAGGTATGGAGTGCCTTTTTTCTACTAATAATAATGTCTATGGATACTTATGAGTGAGAGAATTAAAGTCAATCATTGAGGTAGAATGGTTATTGCTGGGAAATATCACTATGAAAAAACTAATTAAATGTATCCATCTTTTTAGAAATATCCATGGTGTCCTTGTTTTTGGGCATAATATGCTGCAAATCGAATTGGAGCATAACACATGGAAGAATAATGGGAGGTCCCCTTCCTTTAATTAAAGAGGGAACGGGAAAAAAGGAAGGAATTGCGTTAAAGAACTAATTGGCCAGTTAGTGCTCAAGACAGCCTCATACACTCGAAAGGTCACACAAAGATTTAATGCGCCGCTAAAAGCAGTTTAAAGTATATATGCTTTATGCCTTATTTTAGTTCAAACATATTGATTTCATTAACGTTTATGTTCGAAGC